GGTGTAAGTTACGCTGGTTGGAGTGAGTCCACAGGGGCCAACTTGTGGAAATCGCCAACTGTAGACCTTCATATTCCGAGACTACGACCAATGGTGATAGGATGGTGTAATGATGACATTTTGTATTCATTTTTTTTTTTTTTTTTTTTATAGATCATACTTATAATCGAGATGCCGTAGTTATTTTTTTTGGGAAGGTTCAAAAAGGCGAGCATCTCTCGCAGGGCATGAAATGTTTGAACATTGTGGAGGTGTAAGTTACGCTGGTTGGAGTGAGTCCACAGGGGCCAACTTGTGGAAATCGCCAACTGTAGACCTTCATATTCCGAGACTACGACCAATGGTGATAGGATGGTGTAATGATGACATTTTGTATTCATTTTTTTTTTTTTTTTTTTTATAGATCATACTTATAATCGAGATGCCGTAGTTATTTTTTTTGGGAAGGTTCAAAAAGGCGAGCATCTCTCGCAGGGCATGAAATGTTTGAACATTGTGGAGGTGTAAGTTACGCTGGTTGGAGTGAGTCCACAGGGGCCAACTTGTGGAAATCGCCAACTGTAGACCTTCATATTCCGAGACTACGACCAATGGTGATAGGATAGTGTGATAACATTTTGTACTTATTTTTTATTTTACTTTTTTTTTCAATAATCGAGGCTCCGTAATTATTTTTTGGGGGGGCTTAAAGAGGTGAGCATTTTCGCATTGTGGAGGTGTAAGTTACGTTGGTTGGAGTGAGTCCACAGAGGCCAGCTTGTGGAAATCGCCAACTATAGACCTTCATATTCCGAGACTACGACCAATGGTGACAGGATGGTGTGATGATGACATTTTTACTTATTTTTATTTTTTTTATAGATCATACTGATAATCGAAACGCCATTATTATTTTTTGAGAGGTTCAAAAAGATGAGCATTTCTCGTAGAGGATGAAATGCTTGAACATTGCGGAGGTATAAGTTACGCTGATTGGACCAACTTCTGGAAATCTCCAACTGTAGACTGTAGACTTTCATATTCTGAAATTACGATCAATGATGACGGATGGTGTGATGACACATTGTACTCATTCTTTTTCTTTTATAGATTATACTAATAATAGAAACGCCGTTATTATTTTTTGAAACCCACATAATATTGCCACTAGTGCTCGGCAAAATCAAACTTTTTTTTGACACTCAAATACATGTGACGATCCGACTTTTAAATCAATACAGCAATACGGTAATACGATAACTATAAAATACAGTATTGCCGTATTGATTTAAAAGTCAGCCCATCATATGTATTTGAGTATCAAAAAAAAGTTTGATTTGCCGAGCACTAATTGCCACCAAAATCAGGTACGTACGTATGTAATCACTACTTAAAATTTGATCCAAGTTTGAATATTAACATGAAACTTACAAAATCGTGATTTTTAAGAAAAATAATCTAAGATTTTTTTTCTTTCATTTATTCGAAATATTCAAAGAATTTATTTAGGGAACATGGTTTCCACACCCGATTTTGATATTTCCACACCTTTTGATCACGGGCATAATACATAAAGCGTATTATCGTTGCAGCAAAAATGAAATGTCATATTACATTACTCAATTTTTAAGCCGGAATATTTGGAACACACATCGCAATATCTTTATAATTTTATAACAATATTTATAATTTACAAGGGCGTGGAAATACCAAAATCAGGTCTGGAAATGCCATTCTCTTTATTTAATCATTGTAAATATTGAATCTATTTATGTCTAAATTGTAATAATTATTTTAAAATGTATTTATACTGTATTTAATTAAATACATAAATATGTTTACATTCAAGTTCGGTTTTTTAAGTACAAGACATTATTTGAATTTAATATCTAGTTTAAAATATTATTTTGGATAAACACAAAGTTGTTTCTTTTGTCACGTGTAAATGGCTTGTAAGGAGAAATAACTGAAATGGGATGTAATTATAATAATGTATTTTACAAAAATATACAAAATACTAGGAAAATGTGTAGCAATGTGCCTGGAGTATATCATATGATGATCATCTTATTACACAAACGCGTGAATATGCATATTTTGAACATGTGTGTGGACGGACAAAAAATTTCCAAATTATGTTTCTGATATGATTTTCATAATGTTTATGCAGACTTAGCCAAATACAAGAAAGTTCAGGAAATTTAAGAAGTGATGCATCAAAAAAGTCACTATTTTTGGTTGAAATGCATCAAAGACGTAATTTTTGTATCACTTGCTGAATAACTAAGCTACGCCACTGAAAAATAAAAATTTTTGAAGTTCATTTTTTAGGGTTAGGGGTTAGGGTTAGAGGTTAGTTTTAGGGTAGAGTTTATAATAAACAAGTATAAGTGGGTTT